TTGGATGCATGGGTTGGATGCATGGGTTGGATGCATGAGTTGGATGCATGGGTTGGATGCATGGGTTGGATGCATGGGTTGGATGCATGGGCTGGATGCATGGGTTGGATGCATGGGCTGGATGCATGGGTTGGATGCATGGGCTGGATGCATGGGTTGGATGCATGGGTTGGATGCATGGGTTGGATGCACGGGCTGGATGCATGGGTTGGATGCATGGGTTGGATGCATAGGTTGGATGCATGGGTTGGATGCATGGGCTGGATGCATGGGCTGGATGCATGGGTTGGATGCATGGGTTGGATGCATGGGTTGGATGCATGGGTTGGATGCATGGGTTGGATGCATGGGTTGGATGCATGGGCTGGATGCATGGGTTGGATGCATGGGCTGGATGCATGGGTTGGATGCATGGGTTGGATGCATGGGTTGGATGCATGGGCTGGATGCATGGGTTGGATGCATGGGTTGGATGCATGGGCTGGATGCATGGGTTGGATGCATGGGTTGGATGCATGGGCTGGATGCATGGGTTGGATGCATGGGTTGGATGCATGGGTTGGATGCATGGGTTGGATGCATGGGTTGGATGCATGGGTTGGATGCATGAGTTGGATGCATGGGTTGGATGCATGGGTTGGATGCATGGGCTGGATGCATGGGTTGGATGCATGGGTTGGATGCATGGGCTGGATGCATGGGTTGGATGCATGGGCTGGATGCATGGGCTGGATGCATGGGTTGGATGCATGGGTTGGATGCATGGGCTGGATGCATGGGTTGGATGCATGGGTTGGATGCATGGGTTGGATGCATGGGTTGGATGCATGGGTTGGATGCATGGGTTGGATGCATGGGCTGGATGCATGGGTTGGATGCATGGGTTGGATGCATGGGTTGGATGCATGGGTTGGATGCATGGGCTGGATGCATGGGTTGGATGCATGGGTTGGATGCATGGGTTGGATGCATGGGCTGGATGCATGGGTTGGATGCATGGGTTGGATGCATGGGTTGGATGCATGGGTTGGATGCATGGGTTGGATGCATGGGTTGGATGCATGGGTTGGATGCATGGGCTGGATGCATGGGCTGGATGCATGGGCTGGATGCATGGGTTGGATGCATGGGTTGGATGCATGGGTTGGATGCATGGGTTGGATGCATGGGTTGGATGCATGGGCTGGATGCATGGGTTGGATGCATGGGTTGGATGCATGGGTTGGATGCATGGGCTGGATGCATGGGTTGGATGCATGGGTTGGATGCATGGGTTGGATGCATGGGCTGGATGCATGGGTTGGATGCATGGGTTGGATGCATGGGTTGGATGCATGAGTTGGATGCATGGGTTGGATGCATGGGTTGGATGCATGGGTTGGATGCATGGGTTGGATGCATGGGTTGGATGCATGGGCTGGATGCATGGGCTGGATGCATGGGCTGGATGCATGGGTTGGATGCATGGGTTGGATGCATGGGTTGGATGCATGGGCTGGATGCATGGGTTGGATGCATGGGTTGGATGCATGGGTTGGATGCATGGGTTGGATGCATGGGCTGGATGCATGGGTTGGATGCATGGGTTGGATGCATGGGTTGGATGCATGGGTTGGATGCATGGGTTGGATGCATGGGTTGGATGCATGGGTTGGATGCATGGGTTGGATGCATGGGTTGGATGCATGGGTTGGATGCATGGGTTGGATGCATGGGTTGGATGCATGGGTTGGATGCATGGGTTGGATGCATGGGTTGGATGCATGGGTTGGATGCATGGGTTGGATGCATGGGTTGGATGCATGGGTTGGATGCATGGGTTGGATGCATGGGTTGGATGCATGGGTTGGATGCATGGGTTGGATGCACGGGTTGGATGCATGGGTTGGATGCATGGGTTGGATGCATGGGTTGGATGCATGGGCTGGATGCATGGGCTGGATGCATGGGATGGATGCATGGGTTGGATGCATGGGTTGGATGCATGGGCTGGATGCATGGGTTGGATGCATGGGTTGGATGCATGGGTTGGATGCATGGGCTGGATGCATGGGTTGGATGCATGGGTTGGATGCATGGGTTGGATGCATGGGTTGGATGCATGGGTTGGATGCATGGGTTGGATGCATGGGTTGGATGCATGGGTTGGATGCATGGGTTGGATGCATGGGTTGGATGCATGGGTTGGATGCATGGGTTGGATGCATGGGTTGGATGCATGGGTTGGATGCATGGGTTGGATGCATGGGTTGGATGCCTGCCTTGGCCCTGTCTCCCCTGAGACTTACTTTATATCCTCCTCACCAACCCTACACCCCGCCAAAAGACACAGCAGATTGAGCCTTATTGATCGGAAAGCAACACCCCACAAGGCAAAAGTACTTCAATCTACCTCACTCGCCCTACACCCCGCCAAAAGAGACAGCAAACTGAACCATGTAGATCCGGGCAAAGACAGACTCCCCATAAAACCCGAATCTCTTACAATAGTCGTGTCGAGCACAAGGGGCAGATCTGACGCCGTAGCAGTTGTGCCACCAAGACTGCGCCCTGTGATTGTGGTTCCATCGCCCAGGGTGAGCACAGCCTTGTACTCCCGCCCCATGGTGCTGCGGTGGGGAGCAGGGATGTTGGGGAGAAGGGAGAGTAAGTGTGGGGGTGAGAGTGTGTTGGTCCCATCCCACTCGATCTGCAGACTCGCCCATGGGTGAAGGTTTTTCCATCACCCAGGGTGAGCACAACGTGTTCTCCTTCCCACCCCATAGTTCTGAGGTGGGGAACAGCGGGGGGTGGGGGGGTCGGGGGGTGTGTGGCCTGTAGGTCGACTGGAAAGTAACCTGATGTGGCATCACTCAGGGAGAGGCTAAGGGGTTGGGTGAGCCCATCCTGGTACTCCCTCCTGACTGCGCCGCAGTGGGAATAATTAGGGATTCGGTTGAAAAGTGTTGCACGAGATACTTCTGAGATACATAAATAAATATATATATATATAATCATATTAATGATCACAAAAAGCTCCCATCAGGCTGAAAGGAGTGTATTGTTAGGAGGATGGTTGTGGCGAGGGGAGGGGGAAGGAGGGGAGGGAGGGTGGAAACCTGAGAATCTCCCATGGCATATCAAACTTGCTGCTGGCGTTAAAAGGAAACTTGATCGCTATAGCCATACTTACTACCACCCACCTTCCTCCCCCATACCATCAGAGTTCTCGCCAATTTTGCACACACCGTTTGGCAGAAGGTAGAGACATTCCCAAGGGCGCCTCAAATAGCCGGCCTTTATTCCTTGCCATACTCACATCCTGTATAAGCAATTTCTACCCTCCCCCTCCCCTCTCCCACCTCCTCCCCCCTTCAACTATAACTGCACCTTGCCCCCACTGTTAGGAAAAAAGGAGAGGCATTCCTAAGGGAGCCTCACATGTTTCTGGGATTTGGCCAGCCTTTTTTCTTTCGCTATACTCACGTCCCTTGTAATCACTCACTATCCCTCCCCTCCCACTCCAGCCGTACCTTACTCGTACAGTGAATAAAAAGGGAGGTGCACTTGAAAAAGTGCCCCACGTGCTCCCCTTTCCACCCCCCGACACCTCACCCCCCACCCTGCCTCTTCCCCCAAGCCAACTCTAGCCGTACCTTGCTCCCACTGTGAGGTAGAAGGGAGAGGCATTAGAGATTGTGCCCCACATGCTCCAAGGGCTGGGTCGACCCTCGTTGCCGGCTGCAAAGGCCGTGACCACTCCAGCCTGCAAGTTGGACAGGTAGAGAATGAGAGGGTGAGAATGAGAGGGTGAGAATGAGAGGGTGAGAATGAGAGGGTGAGAATGAGAGGGTGAGAATGAGAGGGTTGGAATGGGAGGGTGAGAACGGAAGGCGAGTAATGAGAGGGTTAGAATGGGAGGGTGAGAATGAAAGGGTTGGAATGGGAGGGTGAGAATGAAAGGGTTGGAATGGGAGGGTGAGAATGAAAGGGTTGGAATGGGAGGGTGAGAATGAAAGGGTTGGAATGGGAGGGTGAGAATGATAGGGTGAGAAGGAGAGGATGAGAATGAGAGGGCTAGAATGGGAGGCATGAGAGTGCTGCATAGGCTACGACCATCCAGCCTGGAAGATTTGGAACCATGCCTGCTGCTCGTATCCTTTCCCTCGTTGCCTGCTGAAAAGGCTTTCAAGGCTGCCATGCTACCGTGAATGCCCCCCAATTCTAGCCCTTGCAAGCAGGCTGAAAAGGCTGCCACTGCTGCCATGAGACCCAATGTTCCCCCACCTTTAGTGCTTGCAAGTAGGGCATGTCCTGGAAATATCGTGCCATGCCCCCCCACGAGCACGAGATGATGTCCACACCATCAGCTACCGCCTTGTTCGCAGCAGCAACAAGGTCAGACGTCACCCCCACCCCCTCCCTCACCCCCACCCCCACCCCTTCGTAACCATCGGTGCTCCACAGCCCCTTGTATATTGCCAGCCTGGCTCGCGGAGCCATGCCCGAGGCTGTGCCGAAGGTCCGGCCACCTTTTGTGACGTCCACACCTGCATTGCCAGCAGCCGCTCTGAAGGGGAAGGGAGGAGGGGAGGGGAGTTGGTAGGCGTGGAATTTTTGCTGCCTGTTGTTACCTCCACCCCTGTGTTTCTAGCAGCCGTTCTGAAGGGGAAGGAGGGGAGGGGAGTAGGTAGGTGTGGAATTTTTGTAACACTCATGTCATGCCCGTTGCTGTGCCATCAGGCAGGCCGTTAGTCCGGCCTCCCATTGTCACATCACTCACACCAAGCAGCACTCGCACTAGAAAAATACTCACACCCAAGCAGCATTCACAAAAAAGAGAGAGAGAGAGAGAGAGAGAGAGAGAGAGAGAGAGAGAGAGAGAGAGAGAGAGAGAGAGAGAGAGAGAGAGAGAGAGAGAGAGAGAGAGAGAGAGAGAGAGAGAGAGAGAGAGAGAGAAAGAAAACGCATGCCCTGCATATCTTTCATGTCTAGGAGAGGGAAGGCAGACCATATCGCACTCACCCCGCACACCATGTGCCGTGCTGGTCCATGTCCCGTGGCGACCGGTAATCCAATCTGCTGTCCACCCTGCCATACTCCCGCTCCATGCCTTTCATGAAGTACCTCGCCCCAACCACCTTGCCGTTGCACGCCGTGAAGTCATTTGTTTTGGTGCACACGCCTCTCCAGCGCACGGGCGCAGTGGAGTAAGGAGCGCCATTTGGGTCCTAGAGGAAGAGCAGGAGAGGAGGGGGCATTAAGGAGGAGAGGAGGGGACGTTAAGGAGGAGAGGACGGGACGTTTAAAGAGGAAAGGATGGGAAGTCGTCTTTTTGGAGCACACGCCTCTCCAGCGCAATGGAGTGGCAGAGTACGGTGCTCCATTTGGGTCCTGGAGGATTGTGGGGGGATTCGGCAAAATCGGAGATGTCGAGGAGGAGAGAAATGGGTAGCAAGGATGAGAGGAATGGGGCGCGAAAAGGAAGAGGAAAGGGTGGTTAAAGAAAAGAGATGGGGTGGTTGTACATCTTGGTACACATGTGCCTCTCGAGCACCAGGAATAAGTCACATCAGACTACGGTACACCATTTGGGTCCTTACATGCTAAGGGGACATGGAGAGAAGGTGATGTCATAAGAGAAGGAGAAAAGAGGGGCGTGCCATAAGGGAGGATGAGAAAGACGTGGGAGGGGAGAGGATGTTTGAGGAGGGGTGACGATACATGAAAAAGATCAGAAAAGGATGCAAGAGGTTGGGATTTGTGAGTACAAAACACCTTATACACCAAACCAGGACATAGTAAGTAAAAGTACAAAAGCTACTCCAATTATCACACCACTATCATTAGTAAAGCTACTAAACAAAGGACGTTCGGGCTTACAGGGTTGGAGAAGGAAGGGTGTTCGGGCCAGATCCCTGTGTCGATCACTCCAATGATCACTCCCTCCCCAGCGTTGCTCTGCCCACCATTTGCCGGCCACAGGCTCGAGTCGAGCTTGAGAAACTCAGGGGAGTGCACCGATGTTACTCGCACTATCTCATCTCTCTCCACCTCTGCCACTGCTGGGTGCCTCCTGAGCCGCCTTGCCTCTGCAACGGTGAGCTGCGCTGCAAAGCTGTTCGTCAGGTACGTGTAGCTGAGGGGCGGAAGGGGGAAGGGAAGAAGGGGTGGGGATTGGGCGGGTGGGAAGCAGGCGGGAGAAGCGGGTGAATGAGGCACGAACAATGGCTCGAGTCTAGCTCGAGGAACTCAATGCTTGGAATCCCCAAGCACAGAGAGAGGTCACTCGCACTGCCCGATTGCCCTCCATTTCTGCAACTGCTGGACGTCACTTGAATCGCCTTGCCTTCAAAATCGCCTTGCCTGTGAATCGCCTTGCGTCAGCTTGAGCGGCCTCAGTCAAGGATGAGTCTCCCCAAGCACAGAGTTCCCTCTCTTCCTCTCCATGTCAGGCACTGCTCGCCCCAGCAGGGGTTGGCTGAGGTGTAGAGTTGCTCGGCAAGTACAAGAACGGTGGGGTTGCAAGAGTAAAGGTGGCTGGGCAGAAGCGAAATGGTTGATTTTAGGCGGGAGTCGGGTTGCAACTAATGAGATGGCTTTTATTGACCGACTTATTAGCCGGATAGAACTATAAGCAACCTCCGAACAGGTCAACATACCCTCATCCACCTGACTAATCCCATCGCTCCACTCTCTCTCCCCCAACCCACCTTTGGGAAAATGGTTGGGCCTTGAGAAACGCTAGAGTGGACCAAGTTACCTCTTCACACCTCTGAAAACCGAATAGCCCCACCCCCCTCTCCAACCCACCCACACCACCCCCATCCCCCCTCTATCCCCCCCTTCTCACCTGTGGAAAATGGCTGAGGAAGGGATTTTGAGCGACTGCAATAGGCTGCGGTGAGAAGCTTCCAGGAAGCGGGTGAATGCCTGGACGTGTGGTAACCGCACGTCAGGTCGCATGAGTCGGCCCCACGGCGTTGAGCTCATGATGTAAGCGGCACGTGCACTCAGCTGCTGCACCGTCAGCACTGCTGGCGTGGCTCCGCTTGCCATTGGTGTCGTATCTCCGGCTGGTGCTGCTGTTGACGATGCTGACGATGATGAAGATGATGTTTCTGATGCTGACGTGGCAACTCCCTTTCCGGGTGGCATTCCATGAACGGTGCTGACAGTAGCATAAAAAGCAGAAGGGTAAACGGAGGAATTCTGAGATGGCTCTGAGACAGAAGCAGCAGCAGAAGCAGCAGCAGAACCTGCACCTCCATCAGCTGCTCCTGCTGCTTCCTCTGCTGCTGCGGCCACTGCAGCAGCAGCAACGCGGGCCAGCAGGCGCCGGCCAACAGACCGCGATTTCATCTTTCTCAGCCGCTGACCCACCCTCTCCACCAGCGCATCCAGCCCAGTTCTTGCAAACGGCAGTGCGCTGACCTTCACTGCTGCTCCTCTTCCCCCGGCCCCCCAACCTCGTACTGTTGCTACCCCTTCAGACCCCTGTGCACCTGCTGCTGCTCCTTCTCCTCCTATTCCTGCCAGCTCCATTGCTGCCTCTGCAGCAGCCGCAGCAGCAAACTGAATATCTGCATCAACGCTGCCCTCACCTGATTCTGACCCTCTCAGCTTCACCTCTGATTCTGCTGCTGCCATTGTTGCTCCTGCCCTTGTTTCTGCTCCTGCTCCTGCTGCATCTGGTGCTGATCCTTCAGCAGATCCTGCTGCTGATCCCGATGCATTTCCATTGCAAACGACTCCACCAATGGTCCCATTGTCGTCACCATCAGCATCTGCTGATGCTCCTAGTGCTGCTGTGGCTGTGGCTGATCCTGCTGCTGCTGATCCTTGTGCCGTGCCATTGCCCCCGACTCCACAGATTCCCGCACTGCCATCATCATGAGCATCTCCATTCTCCCCATAATCCTCATCATCCACGTCATCAACGTCTTCTTCGTCCTCATACTCGTCCTCCTCATCGTCTACAGTGGCTGTGGCCCGCAGCCCGTTGACTCCCCCCCGGTACGACAGTACGGATGGCACCGAGGATAGATGCACGATGTACTGCTTCGTGTTGGGCCTTCCAACTGCTGGACTCAAGGATTAGAAATGGGAAGGTTTCAGAAGAGAAAGGGGTGGAGGGGGAGAGGGGAGGAAAGGGGGAATTGGGGGGATGGATAGGTTCAACTTGAACTCGGACTTGGAGTGTCTTGCACTACGACCTAGTTATGCATGGACACCAGAGTAGGCCTGGCCCAGTGATGGTGTTGAGAATGTTCTCGACAACACCTGAGGACTGATATGATATGGACAGCAGAGCAAGTCACAGTGTTTTGGGAGTTCTCAAAACTTGAGTGCTCGCATGACATGGACGGCAGGAACAGGTCACAGTATTCTGGAGAGCTCTCATAACTTGAGTACTCACATGACGTGATGGACTGCAAAGCACCATGATTACCTGGTTGTGCCACATGGTGCACCGCAGAGCACGGCCGCACGGTCATCATGATCATAACTCCCAAGAGAGCGACTATCAAGGCCGTCGCGGCGCGAGGCGGAATCCATGACAAACAGCCGAGTTTACTACTTGATCTGCGACTCATCATCGTCTCCATAGTATAACTGTGGTGTGACAGGCGGCTTGGATCATTAAGATTTTTTTTTTTTTTTGTGGGGGAAAGCCACGCCAAGGTTGACTAATATTGCAAAGGCAGGGCGATGATCAAGAACACTCAATCTTATGCTCTCACTTCAGATCACCAACTCTCTCTATACTACTTTTGATATCTACTGACTCGAAGACTGTATGAGAGGACTCCTCTAGTATGCTCTTCGGAAGAAAAGGGTAATAATCAGCACTCTACTATGCTTGCGTTTTTTGTACTTTTCATCACTGGTCGTCGGGCTCTCACTTAGTCCGAATAAGTCGTTGCACAATTATGTAGGACGGTGCCTCCCCGGACGTGCCTCCGTTTGGAACGTCGGAGTTTTCCCAACTCAATCGTGGGCTGCTTTGCCAACTAGGCGGCCTAGAGTTGACTCTTTCTTCCTGGCGTGATTCATAGGTTGCTGGCAGCTTTCGGCTGCAGCTGATTCAGACTTGCGCGTTCAACAGTTCGCCCTACCTCGCAGGTTTTCTTGGCTCTGTTCAAATAGTGTACTAGTAGTAGCAGGAGGTCATAGCCCTGTGTATCATACTGTTAGCTGTGCATGGGTGATGCAGCTTTGGTGGGATCAGGTCGAAACATTTCAAACCGCCTCTTGATGGGACGGTGCATCGGGGAGGTAGGAATCTGGCAAATTCTTAGGAAGTCGTGTTTGACCATGGCCAATCATGAATCGCGGTCACTTGCCATGCTGGCATTCGTCCCACTCGACACCTCGCGGTTGACAATAGTTGACGCAGGAAGACTTCCCTATATTCACCTCGTAGTTGACAAGACCTGAAAAAAAAAAAAGCAAAAACAAAAAAAAACAGACAAACAGAACAAAACAAATTAAATTAAAAAAAAAAAATCAAACTTTTGTGAACAAGATGAGAAATGTATGTTCATCCAGCTGCCATGCCATAATTCTCCTACCAAGTAGTCTAATTGGCCAAGTAATCATATTTTCTTGCACAAGTAACCAGAGAGACCACCTTGATAGCTTGCTTGAGAACTTCAACCAAGGGGGCCTGAAATCCCCATCATTTCAAAACTTGGTAAGGGTCCTTGCTCTTTAACATTTTTGTCAGTATTTCTGTAAAATCAGCCGTTTTCTTTTTTTGCCTCTGTTATCTGACTTTTTACAGAGTGAATTTCTATGATACTAGTTGATCAAACATGCAATTATGTGTCAAACATATATGTGTATTAAATTGTCTAGGCTATGTAGGGGCTAGCCTTAGGGGGTATAGGTTTCACCTCGACACTCTTGCTTGTACCCCATCCTAGACCTGACAAACTCACTTCTCATTAAATCTCTCGACATGGTATAGAACAGGTCCTTCTAAGGGCGTATCTCTTTTTTTACGGTGACGGTTCGAACCATGGACCGTCCAGCTCGCGAAAATGTTACCTACTTCGCACTTTTTCGCAACTTTTTCGCCATGGTCTTCGCAATTTCGCCCACAGTTCGAACCGTCACATCACTTTTCCCTCCAAGCAACGGTTCACAATGTGAACATTTGTCAGTTCGATAAGCAAACGGACGGAACTCCATCTCTGACATCCGATTGGCGCCCGAAAAAACCAAAAAAATACACCGAGCCGCATCTCCAACAACATTTTGGGTGCGCGGCGCCAAACTGAACATTGAACCATACACACCCCCACTGCCCCTGCTACACTACAAAGACGGTTCCACTTCGAACCGAACCACCACAATCAGCACGCAATGGAGCAGTTTAGCGGAAATGAGAACTCTGGACCAGCAAACACCACACCCAACACCTCCGTCCCTAGTAGAAGTTTTTTTTTACTCTTGTGGTGTGATGTAGCCTCTGTAGAAGGTTGGCGGTTGGCTTTCAGGGGGCATCGAGCCGCGACCTGGCTATGCGATGTTGGCGATGGGGTGTGACTGAGGTTACGTAAGTGTACGATGCCTGGCGATGCTATAGTACTTCGGAATTCTGATGCACTCGGAAAAGTAATGCTTTTCCCTTCGTACTGTCCAATGTTTTGAATTTTTGAATCAGACGGTCCGATTCTCGCTATTGCAACTGTCCGTTTACATACAACTCGACATGAGAAAGTTAGAACAAGAATGGATGAACTAAGGAATGAAAGTGGTACAAATATGCAACCCTAGAAATGTGTACCCCATATAGGCTACCCCACTACAGCCTACACAACATTATAATTTGACACACCCCCATAGGCAAAGTGGGGGAGAACAAGGGGTCACAAGACCAGTCAAGCAAAGCAAAGAAAAGCTCAGGGTGGATCACAAAGTCACCACACATTCCGAGCACAAGTTCAAGGCCAGACGGCCAGTTCACATGCAAGAGCACACATATATATATAAAAGGCTAAACAAGCAAGAGCAGGAGTATATATATATATATGTGACAGTACAAGCAAGGTCAAGAAGTGAGCAAGTGAGGCAAGACAGGCACAAGACCAAGCTGAGTACAGAAGCGCTGATGATCACAAGGCGCAAGAGCCTTAGTGAAGATATCAGCAGTGTTGGCCTCAGAGGCCACGTACGCAAGTCGCAACTGACCACGCTGCTGTAGCTCACGAGCAAGAAAGTAGCGGAGAGCAATGTGCTTCGTTCTGTGCTCCAAACGCTGCTCCCGACACAAGGCCAGCATGACCTTTTTTGTCTGCGTACGGCACTGGAGGAGAACGAGGCGGCTCTCCAAGGTCAGTCACCAGGTAGGTGAGCCAGCGTAGCTCCTGTGCAGCCATGGCTCCGGCGTAGATCTCAGCCTCACAACTGGAGCCGAGAACAGAAGACGAGCGAGTAGCCCGCCACGAAACAGAGACGGAACCAAGACAGAAGGTGTAACCCTGTGACGACCGCTGTGTAGCCTGGTCGTTAGCCCAAGAAGCGTCTGCGTGCCCAGTCAGGACCACTGGATTCTGCCCTCCAAGCACAAGCCCCATGCCCGACGTACTGCACAAGTAGCACAACACCCTCTTCGCTGCAGCCATGTGCTCTGGCCGGTGTCTCCCAGGAGCAACATAGCGTGCAAGAATGCTAAGAGGGTATGCAAGGTCAGGTCGTGTGCAGGTCATCAGGTACATGAGGCAACCAACAAGCTCTTGGTACGGGCCACTCGACTCTACGCACTCATCCGAAGGCAGAGCTGAGAGCGAGTGGCGAGTAGACAGAGGAGTGGCCTGAGGCGAGGAGTACGTGAAGCCGAAGCGCTGAAGGACCTGCTGCACCATGTGTGACTGAGTCAGAGTAATGGTGCGGCGTGCTCTGTCCCGGGTGATCTGCAAGCCAAGGTAGCTGCGCAGTTCACCCAGGTCTGTGCACGTGTGTCTCTTCTGCAGCTCGGACTTCACGTGGGCGAGTCCAGTAGTGTCAGCTATGGCAAAGACCAAGTCGTTGACGTACACGAGGATGTAGAACGGCGGAAAAGAGGTGTCGGTGCGTAGAAACAGCGACGGGTCAGCAGTAGAGGGAGCAAACCTAAGAGCCGCAAGTGTAGTCCTCAGTGTGTCGTGCCACTCACGCGGTGCCTGGCGAAGACTGTAGACTGGCCATCGGAGGCTCCAATGGGTGCCAGGAGGAAAAGTCCCAGTGAAGCCAGGTGGACGGCGCAGCCAGATCTCCTCGTGCAGGCTACCCTGCAAGAAAGCAGTGCTGAAGTCAAGGGAGTGAAGCTCGTAGTCGTGGACGCCCCCACACACTGCTCACCCGCACACTGCTCACCCGCGCGGTCGCCGGAGCGAAGGACGTAGGTGCACGGACCAAAACCCCCACCATGCTGACGCTGCGCGTACCACTCACGGAGCTGCTGAGGGGGGGGGATGTCTTGAGAACGCTGCTGTTGCTGCTGCTGCTGGCGCTGACCACCACCGGAGCTGCTCCGCTGCGAAGCGCCACCCTGACCAGCTCCACCTCCTCCACCACCGCCTCCTCCACCTCCGCCACCACCGCCGCCTCCGCTCCCACCGCTACCGCCTCCGCCGCCTCCGCCTCCACTGCTGCCACCGACACCTCCACCCCCGCCACCACTCCCACCGCCACCCCCACTCCCTCCGCCGCCTCCACCGCCACCTCCACCACCCCTGCTAGCTCCACCCGCGCCCTTGCCCCCCTTGCCCTTGCCAGAGCGGCGTCTACCGCTAGGGGCAGACGCCGCACCGACCGACTAAAGACCAACGAGGTCGGCCGCAGCAGCAGAGGCGACAGAGGGCAAAAGGGGGGAAGGGGAACACCCCTCAAAGATGGGGGTGCGAGGGTCACCACGAGAGGCTCCTACAGCGACTGTGCTCTTCTCCGCTGCTAGGAGGGCCTTCCCTAGGAGGTCAACAGTGAGAGTGGTGGGACAGACTGAGAGGAAGTGGTCCCTGACTACACGAAGGGAGTCAGGGAGGCAGATGACTATGTAATAGAGAATTCAGCAGGAAGCGCAGCGCGGTAGCGAGTGTCACTTGTGCGGAGGTGCGTAATGAGGTCAGCGACTGTGGGAAAGGCAGCAAGGTCAGGGAAGAGGTACGGTAGCATGAGGCGGCTCAGTGCAGCAGTGGCAGGGGAAGAGTAGCGCGCAACTACAGCGCCGTACAAGGTCTGAGCACTCTTGTACTGACTAAAGTGCGCGCGCTCAGTGGTAGGCAGGTGGCGACGCATAGCAAGACGTGCAGCAGCGTCGCGCGTGGCCCACTAAGAGCGAACAGTGGCGTCAGCATCAGCAGCAGGGGCAGGAGAGGCGCCAGAGGTGAGGTCAAAGAGAGAGAGACCGTCTGCCCTATCGCACTGTAAGAAGAGCTGCAGGTCGTCGACCCAGACGTCAAAGTCAATGGCTCGACCCTTAGCGTCAAAAGCGAGGACACTGGGGGTAGCCATGACAACAGTAGACCAGAAGTGCAAGTAGTAGGGAAAGTGCAGTGCAGCGACAGAGGTGCTGTGCTCACCGGACAGGGCTGCTTGGGTGGCTCGGCGGAAGGGCGGCTCGGCGGTTCGGCGGCTCGCGTGCTGGGCGGCTCGGCGGCTCGACTACTGGGCGTCTCGGCTACACGGCGGCTGGGCGGCTCGGCTGGAGGGCGACTCGGCAGCTCGGCGGCTCGGCTGCTCTGCTGCTGGGCGACTGGGTTGTGCTGCTGCAGGGCGGCGCGGCGGTCGGCGGCTCGGCTGGGTGAGGTGGCTCGGGCGGCTCGGGCGGCGGGCGGCGCTGCAGTAGTTGAGGGCGGCGGGGCCGCAACTGAGGGCGGCAGGGCCGCAAGGGAGGGCGGCGGGGCCGCAGGTGAGGGCAGCGACGGGCCGCAACTGAAGGCGGCGACGGGGCCGCAGGTGAGGGCGATGGGGCCGCAACTGAGGGCGGCGGGGCCGCAAGTGAGGGCGGCGGGGCCGCAGGTGAGGGCGGCGACGGGCCGTAGGTGAGGGCGGCGACGGGGCCGCAGCTGAGGGCGGCGACGGGGCCGCAAGTGAGGTTGGCGGGGCCGCAACTGAGGGCGGCGGGGCCGCAAGTGAGGGCGGCGGGGTCGCAAGGGAGGGCGGCGACGGGCCGTAGGTGAGGGCGGCGACGGGGCCGCAACTGAGGGCGGCGACGGGCCGCAAGTGAGGGCGGTGGGGCCGCAACTGAGGGCGGCGGGGCCGCAAGTGAGGGCGGCGGGGCCGCAAGGGAGGGCGGCGACGGGCCGCGTAGGGTGGCGACGGGCCGTGAAGGGCGGCGACGGGCCGAGTAAGGGCCGCGACGGGCCGTAAGGGCGGCGCAAGGGAGGCCGCTAGGGGCGACCCGACTTGGCCGCTAGGGCGGCTCGACGAAGGCAGAGAGGGGAGCGCGACTCGGGGAGCGTGCCCCGGGCAGGAAAAAAAAAATCGATGTGGTGGGCCCTAGGCACAGTTCCCACGAGGGAACCTGCTCGATACCATGAGAAAGTTAGAACGAGAATGGATGAACTAAGGAATGAAAGTGGTACAAATATGCAACCCTAGAAATGTGTACCCCATATAGGCACTACAGCCTACACAACATTATAATTTGACACGACACTCCGTCAAAATCCATTCAAAATCCATAAAAGCAAAAAAGAGACACGCCCTAAGGACCGTTTTTTTTTTTTCAAGTCAGCAGCTAAAATAGTGACCCCCCATTCTAGTTGGGTCCACTTGAAAACTGAAGTTTTTTTGGAACAGTTTCGGAACCAACGAAGAGCTATGCATTTTATTTTTTCACTCCAGACAAGTCTCGCTGTGAATGGGGAACATTTGGAACAAGTGCACAATTCTGATTGGCAGCGAAACTTACACACAACGCACACATACCTCTGTGCGAATTTGGCTCAAGGTAACAATGCCTGTTTTCACTCGAGCAGTCATAGAACTTCACAAAACCTCACATCAATCAACAACACAGAATCCAGTGCACACACAAATGCAGGAGATGAGAGGGGAGGTGGGCCGACAACCTGGCAGAGCTGCGAGAAAGGCTGAAAGAAGTTAAAAATAGGGAGTCGAAGAACGAGGGGGAAAACTAAGTTTGACAAGGTATCACCAACGGATAGAATGATATCGATGGGGAGAGAGAGAGGAACAACGGCCAGTGAGGGGAGAGTGGAGGAGCGACGGGAAGAAAGAGGAGAGCGGAGGAGCGACGGGACGAAAGAGGAGAGAGGAGGCGAACAGCGGGATGGGAGGGGAGAGGAGGCAAACGACGGGATAGGAGGGGAGAGGAGGCGAACGACGGGATGGGAGGGGACATTGCAAGGGCGACGGGATGGAGAGCGCGAAGGCGACGGGAGGGAGAGCACTAAGGCGACGGGACGGAGAGCGCTAAGGCAACGAAATGGAGAGCGCTAAGGCGTCGAGAGGGAAAGCACGATGGCGACGAAATGGAGAGCGCTCATGTGACTGTAGAGAGAGCGCAAAGGCGACGGTAGAGAGAGCGCTAAGGCGACGGTAGAGAGAACGCACAGGCGACGAGAGGGAGAGCGCGAAGGGGACGGGAGGGAGAGCGCGCAGGCGACGAGAGGGAGAGCGCGAAGGTGACAGGAAAAGTGCACGGAGGGGAGGGAGGAATGGCGGGGGGAGGGCGTTTCGGGGAGAGAGCTAAAGACGACGTGGTGAGCGATGGGCCGACGAATGCATGGGCGGGGGGAAAAGAGATGGCGACGGGGGGGGGAGGAGAGAGACCCGCTAAGGTGGGAGGGGAGCGGACACCGGACGAACGACTGGAGGGTAGAGGAGATGGCGGAGGCGCGATACAGGAAACTAACACCTGCGGAAGGGTAACGATCGGCTACGGAAGGGAATAAAATTACGATACAACGCTACGCAACAGTCTTACGTATTCCCGCTAAGCCGATAGTTCCTTACCTAGGCAACAAACACCTATTGTTGTCAGCTATAATATGCTAGGAATGAAAGGACTGATTACGGGACAGAGAGCAGCTAGCATGAAACCCAGTTCCAGCTTGAAACCGTTTTGGCCTGGCGCAACCATCGTTTGGCAAGAGTCGTGCAGGTGTAGCACGAAAGATGCGACGGAGGAGATCCGCAGGGAAATTAAAAATGGCGGGAACATGAAGCATCAAAGACTGGCGACAACCAATCACATTTGCTCACAGTGCCTTTCGTTTTGTTTGGAACAGTGCTCGATCGGCTCGTTTTCAGCAGCACACTTTCAACATAGGACAGGGTTCAGTATTTTATATTTCGGTTTTAAAGCCCGAGTATCACATCGTATTTTTCAAATTCAAGTTTCTTGAAGTTGATTTCGTGAATAGCCATGTTACCAGCTGGTTTAGAACAATCCGTCGGGTTCAAGCAGCAGAGGTGATCCGTGATTGGCCAGCGATAAACTAGAACAACCAGCAGGAAAAAGGCCTTAGAGAAAAGCACTGTTCACCTTGAGTAAACTTGAAAACCATCGGGAACGCTTGGACACGCATATTATGAGGCACGCTAGTAGTACCGTAGTTCTCCCGTCACAAATGGGCAATCTCCTTCCTAAGCATTCTGTTCAAAGACACGAATCAGGGACCTTTGGCGACTTTAGTTGCAACCGAGCCGCGGCCACTTTGTTTCCTCTACCGCAACCGCCACGTTCTCTCCGTATGTCGTTGCAGCGAGTAGTAGTCTCAGGCGTAGAAAGAAGCACACACTCACGCATTGCGAAAGTATCCCTAGCCTTCCGCCTCCGCCGTCAATCTCTCAGCCAATATAGACACCCCGACTTATTTTTGAGTCGTAGCTTATCGGTATGACAGCAACGCGACGGTGTATCGTATTTCCTGACTCGGTCGCCCTGGGATCGCCCTTCCTCAAACATCACATTTGGCCCTATCGCCTTTTGCGTACCCTACGCGCACGCCCACGCTTCCCCCCACCCTTTCCCTCACCGTCGCTCACGCTTCCCCTTTACCGTCGCTCACGCTTCCCCTTTACCGTCGCTCACGCTTGCCCTTACCGCCGCATGCGCTGCCTCCTGCTCCGTAGGTGCACCCACGCTTCCCCACACCATCGCGCATGCCTTCTCCCACATTCACACACGCTCATCGCCCACGCTTCTTTCGATCGTCATCCCCGCTTCAGCCCACCGTCACCGACGCTTCCTCTTACCGTCGCCCACGCTTCCTCTTACCGTCGCCCACGCTTCCTCTTACCGTCGACCACGCTTCCTCCCCGTCGCCCACGCTTCCCCCCACCGTCGCCAACGCATTTCCCCACCGTCGCCAACGCTTTTCCCCACTGTCGCCAACGCTTAACCCCACCGTCGCCAACGCTTTTCCCACTGTCGCCAACGCTTAACCCCACCGTCGCCCACGCTTCCCCCCATCGTCGCCCACGCTTCCTCCCACCGTCGCCCACGCTTCCCCCCTCCGTCGCCCACGCTTCCCCTGCCATCGCCCTCCCTGTCGCCCGGGAATCCCCCCTCCCGCTAGACTCCCTCCCCTCCCGCGAAAAATCCCCCCGTCCTCTCATAACCCCGGCCTCTCATCCCCCTGTCCCATGTCCTCTCGTCCCCCTCGTCGTCTCGTCCCCCTGTCCTCTCATCCCCCCGTCCTCTCATCCCCTCGTCCTCTCATCCCCCCATCACGCTCGTCCCCTCGCAAACCCTGTCTCCCTATGTCCCTGTCGCCCTCGTTCTTTCCCCGTATCCCCAGCCCTGCTTCCCCCCATCCCCTTCCCTGCTTCCCCCCATCCCCTTCCCTGCTTCCCCCCATCCCCTTCAATGCTTCCCCCCATCCCCTTCCCTGCTTCCCTCCATCCCCCTCCCTGCTTCCCCCCATCCCCCTCCCTGCTTCCCCCCATCCCCCTCCCTACTTCCCCCCATCCCCTTCCCTGCTTCCCTCCATCCCCCTCCCTGCTTCACCCCATCCCCTTCCCTGCTTCCCTCCATCCCCCTCCTTGCTTCACCCCATCCCCCTCCCTGCTTCTCCCCATCCCCTTCCCTGCTTCCCCCCATCCCCTTCCCTACTTCCCTCCATCCCCCTCCCTGCTTCACCCCATCCCCCTCCCTGATTCCCCCCATCCCCTTCCCTGCTTCCCACCATCCACCTCCCTGCTTCCCCCCATCCCCTTCCCTACTTCCCCCCATCCCCTTCCCTGCTTCTCCCCATCCCCTTCCGTGCTTCCTCCCATCCCCTTCCCTGCTTCCCCCCATCCCCTTCCCTGCTTCCCCCCATCCCGTTCCCTGCTTCCCCCCATCCCCCTCCCTCCTTCCCCCCACCCTCTGCTCTGTTCCTAACTGCCCTCCCCATCCCTGCCTTTCCTTCCCTGCCCTGCCTTTCCCTTCCCCATCCCTTCTCAACCCTTCCCTTCCTTTTTATGCCCTCCCCTTCTCCCCCACTCCTCGCCTTCCGCGCTCTAGTTTCCATGCATGCGCACCCATCACTGTCTCACCATACATGCTTTCATCATGTGCCCTTGTCGTTGCCGTTGTTACCTTGACGCCCACACCACCTCCCCCATGTGCCTTCACACAATTCTTTCTGCCTACTCCACTCCCCTATTTTTCAGTGGTGAAGCAGAGGAGCAACAGTTGCTAGCTGAGGCATAGCTAGTCGATGCCTTACACCATACCACGGCCTGTTTCTTGTGTTTTCTATGCAAGCATGATACTGTATCACTGTTGGAGATATGCAATTCAAAGGCACACTTTGTACTAGTAATTGCCTTTGCAGTGCAAGATATTCTACCAATATGCCAGGACACTATGAGTGTTAGAAGGGAAAATATAGGCATGTTCCTAATACTTCCTTTTGATTGTAGGCAAAGATCAAGGGGAGCAATACGACTGACCTTTCTCAAGGCCTTGAAAAAAACATGAGGGGAACTGTTATTCTACGAGCGTGGCATGGGACGGGATGATGGGCTGAGGCAAGTTGAAGTACCAGAAAAATCTTCAGTGTAGCAACTGCCACAGCCAGGGAGGGGGAGAATACGAGGGATTGGGTAGGGGAACAAGAAAGAAAGTCAAACAGATAGAGATGAGAAGAGGGGAGATAGGGGGGACAGGGAGGAGGGGGAAGAGGGAAGCAAGGGGGAAGAGAAAGGGGGAAATATGACGACATGAGAGGGAAAGGGGATATGAAGAGGGGGGGTGAGGGAAAGGAGGAGATAGGAAGAGGGTGAGAGGGAAAGAAGACAATACCAAAGGAAGGAGGGTGGGGAAGAGGGAAGATAGGGAAGAAGAGGAGAGGGAAGCGAGGGAAAGGGGAAGCAGGGCGGGGAGATAGGGAGATAAAACGAGGGGAAGAAGAGGGGGAAACGAGGGGAAGCAGGGGGGAAAACGAAGGGAAACAGAGGGGGAATTGAGGAGAAGCAGGGGGGAAGATGAGGGGAAATAGTGGGGAAAATGAGGGGAAGCAGAGGGGAAAACGAGAGCAAGCAGGGGAGTAAATGAGGGGAAGCAGGGGGGAAAACGAGAGCAAGCAGGGGAGTAAATGAGGGGAAGCAGGGTGGAAAACGAGAGCAAGCAAGGGAGTAAATGAGGGGAAGCAGGGGGGAAAACGAGAGCAATCAGGGGAGTAAATGAGGGGAAGCAGGGGGGGAAACGAGAGCGGAGGCGCGGCGATGCGAATGGAGGCGCGGCGAGGCGAGCGGGGGCGCGGCGCAACGAGCGGAGGCGCGGCATGGCGAGCGCAGGCTTGTCTCGGCGAGCGGAGGCACGACGAGGCGAGAGGAGGCGCGGCAATGCGTGCGGAGGCGCGGTGAGGCGAGCAGAGGCGCGACAAGGGGAGGAGCTCGATGAGGGAAGGGGAGGAGCCACTCAGAGGTGCGTGGGCAGGCGTGGTGAGGTGGATTCACTCACCCTCGCGGCCACAATGCGTTCCTTCGTATTTCATGTTGTGATGCGCTGTCGAGATGATTTCTGTTCAAACAAGATTCGACATTTACGTCGGATGGGTTGCGTAGAGTTGTATCTTTGTATAAGAAACATAATGATGGAACATATTATATTTTACTCATGTAAAGCAAACTATAACGTTCGTTTTACTTGGTTAAATGGGATAAGATTGATATTTTTTTAACAAAAATATAGCCCATATTTAGTTTTTTTAATCTTGAGATACTTCATGTATCAACAAAGAACGTTTTTGGAAATTCAATATTATTTTGTGTTTATAACAGACAATGATTTTATTATTCATCTTTTTTTTACTGCACATACAAATCTGTCAGAATGAGGAATGAGTGTTGCATTGATGTTGGTTGGGGTACATATGACAAACCCTAACTTCTGTACCCCCTAAGACAAACCTCACTACAGGCTACAACATTTGACACACCCCCATAGCCTAAGTGAGGGGTGTCTAGCAAAAACAAAAAGAGTACGGTCACAAGACCAGTCCAAAAGAAAACAAAGCTCAGGGTGGATCACAACGTCACCACACACTCTGAGCACAAGCAACAGTGGCCACAAGGCCAGTCCAAGAGATCACAAGTATATATAGTAAATGTACAGACGAAGCAGGCAATAAACTCAAGTCTACGCATGACTAGAACCTGTGTCAACAAGGCCTAACTGCACACAACACCTCTGGTGGTCACAAGGCGGAAGCGCCTTGGTGAAGATGTCTGCAGTGTTGGCCTCGGACTCTACGAACTCGAAGCGAGCCTGTCCACGCCTCTGCAACTCTCGCAGAAGAAAGTACCTGATGTGAATGTGCTTCACTCTGCTCTCCAGTCGCGGCTCACGATAGAGGAGGATCGACGCCTTGTTGTCAGTAAACAAGGTCGGTGCAGAGCTCGGCCGCTCACCAAGGTCAGTGAGCAAGAAGGTCAACCACCGCAACTCCTGTGCCGCCATGGCACCAGCGTAAATCTCAGCCTCAGCTGTAGAGGTCGAGACAGAAGAGGAGCGCGTGGAACGCCAGGAAACAGCTCCAGAACCCAGACTGAAACAGTACCCCTGAGTAGACCTGTGAGTCTCAGCGTCGTCAGCGTAAGAGGAGTCACAGTGACCAGTGAGTACGACAGACTGCTGCCCTCCAAGAACTAGCCCCACGCCTGATGTAGTCGCTAGGTACTTCGCCACCCTCACAGCTGCCGTCCAGTGAACAGGACGGTGTCTCCCTGGCGCAACAAAGCGCGCAAGGATGCTGAGAGGGAAGGCGAGGTCCGGGCGAGTACAAGTCATCAGGTACATGAGGCAACCCACAAGCTCTGCGTAGGGACCACTAGGCTCAAACGGCTCGTCAGGAAAGGGACCAGTGAGTCTGTGGTCAACAGCTAGAGGTGTGCGCTGTACGGTGGAGTGCTGAAGCCCGAACCGCTGAAGGACCTGCTGCACCATGTGTGACTGTGAGAGTGTAATGGTGCGAGCGGCTCTGTCCCTGGTGATCTGCAGGCCAAGGTAGTGGCGCAGTTCACCAAGATCAGTGCACGTGTGTCTCTTCTGCAGTTCGGACTTCACGTCTGCCAAAGCAACCCTGTCCGGAGTGGCGAAAACGAGGTCGTCGACGTAAACCAGAACAAAGAACGGTGTGGAGCCACGACGAACGAACAGCGACGGGTCGGCAGAAGACGGCTGGAACCCAAGGTCAGAGAGGGTAGAACGCAGAGTGTCGTGCCACTCACGAGGGGCCTGGCGAAGACCGTAAACAGGTCGCCTCAGCCTCCACTGGGTCCCAGGAGGGAAGGTGCCAGTGAAGGCCGAGGGACGACGCAACCAGACCTCCTCGTGTAGGCTGCCCTGAAGGAAAGCAGTGGAGAAGTCAAGAGAGTGTAACTCGTAGTCTCTCTGTGCTGCTACGTGTAGTAACACCCGAAGAGTGGTCATCTTCGGGGTAGGTGCGAAGGTCTGAAAGAAGTCAACTCCCTCGCGCTGACTGAAACCTCTAGCCACGTAGCGCGCCTTGAAGACCGGGGGAGATCCCGGTGGCCGCTTCACCCTGTAGATCCACATGCCGTCGACTACGTTCGCCCCCGGGGGGGGAACCTCATCGACGTAGGTGCCTGTGGATCTGTAGGAGGCCATCTCTGCGTCCATGGCAGCTCTCCACTGAGAGGCCCAAGGCCCTGACACTGCCTCAGCGTAAGTGCGAGGAGTCGGAATGTCAAGGGCGTCGGGGTCACCCTCAGGGGCGAGGAGCATGGCACAGAGATGAGGGGAAGCGGCCGCCAGGAACTCTAGCTCAAACTGCCTGTCCTCTAGGGCGTCACGGCCAAGGGCAGACACACCCCCGACGGCCAGAGGACTGGTAGGAGGAGCAGCCACAAGCGTGGTGGCGTAGTCAAGGCGGCGGGTAGAGGCAAAGTCAGTAACTGCGGCAGTAAGAGCGGACACAGAGGACACAGAGGCACGAGGGTGAGTAACAAGAGAGGCGAGAACACGAGAGAGAACAGGACGGTACGTGCGGTAGTAGTCAGTGACAGGAGTAGGGAGCGACACAGTGAGGGCCGACTCAGGAGGAGACGGAAGCACAGACTGAGACGGACGAGGTGGACTAGAAAGAAGGAAGGCAGTACGAAGGTCAGTGAAGGGAACAGGAGACGAGGGACGAGCACGAGGGGAGCGACGAGTAGCCCAAGAACGAGACGGAGGAGAAGAGGACAAGGGCGGAGAACTGGGGAAAACAGCGGGGGAGGAGTCAGGAGGAGGAAACGTGGGACCGTAGACAGGAGGAGAGGCGGAGGAGGGAGGAGAAGGGGAGGGGAGACCAAGGATCCGAAGACCCGAGACAGGAGGAGGAAGTGGCTGCTGCTGCTGCGGCTGCGACTGCTGCTGCTGCGGATGCGGCTGCTGCTGGGACTGCTGCTCCTGCGGGTCCAGCTGCTGCTGCTGCTCCTCCAGCCGCTGTAACTCCCTCTCCTCTCTCTCCAACGCCAGCTGATCGTCACGGGCACGGCGAACACGAGCCTGGTGCCTAGTCGGGTAGGGGTGGGGGGGCGGAGTAGTGTCCGAAGCAGCGGCAGCTCCAGAGTCCACTCCAGAAGAACTAGGCTCACCACCCCCAGAGGCTGCACTAACACCAGCTCCAGACCCAGGCTCACCTGAACCCAAAGGAGGCGCACCCTCACCCCCAGACGCAGCACCCCCAGTGTCCGCGCGGCAAGCACCAGCTCCCGGACGACAAGCGTCCTCTGCACCCACCTGGTCAGCTCCAACTCCAGAACCAGAAACTCCAGCTCCAACCCCAGCTCCAACTCCAGCACCCCCAGAACCAGAAACTCCAGTGCCAACTCCAGCTCCAACTCCAGCTCCAACTCCAGCTCTAACTCCAGCACCCCCAGAACCAGAAACCGGTACAGGAACAGGCGTCGCACCAACCTCTCGAGAGCTAGCACCAGCGGCACGCTGCGAGGAGGACTGTGGGGAGGGAGGCTGTACCGGAGGGGCTACCGAAGGAGGAGGGGTAGCCTGGGACACACCTGACGGGGCTGGACCAGGGGGGGGAGGCTGTACCGGGGGAGCAGGAGGGGGAACGGCAGTCAGGAAGAGGGGGGGAGGAGGAACCGGGAGACCTCGACTGGGGTACCTGACGTAGTACGGAGTGGACTCCTCGAAACGGACGTCACGGGAGTCAAAGAACCGGTGAGAGGGAGGGTGGTAAAAGGTGAAGTCAGAGGAGTCCTCAGGGAAACCAAGGAAGACACAGGGGACGGCACGAGGCGAGAGCTTGTCCGCGGAGGTGTCGCGGACAAGAGCCAAGCACCCCCAGACACGAAACCGCGACGCAACACCAGGGAACCCTGTCCAAAGACTGGTCGGTGAAACCTCTGGTCGAGAGACACGTGGCCAGAGGTTCAGCTGGTGCGCGGCGTACCTGACCGCGTAGGGCCACAGAAAATGGGGGGCACAGGCGTGAGTCAGGGAGGTGCGGGCGATCTCCATGACCAGGCCTATGCGGCGCTCAGCAACCCCATTCTGCTGTGGGGACTCTGGAAGCGTCCAGGACTGACGAATGCCCTGCTCGCGACAGAATCCAGCGAGAATGCCGGAGCGAAACTCACCCCCACGGTCGGAGTGGAGACAGCTGACACGACGACCACGAGTGTCCTCGGTGGTGAGCAACCACCTGATCAGCGTAGAAGTCACCTCAGACTTCTTCGCCAGAGGGAACACTGTGGTGTAGCGGGAGAAGTCGTCAACGACCACCAGAAAGTAACGCTCACGCTCAGGGCCTAGACGAGGGGCTGGGCCCCAGACGTCCAAGTGAAGCGTCTCAAAAGGCTCGGTGGCCGGACGAAGGGAGGAGGAGTGAGGGGTGGCGCGCAGCCTACCCTCGACGCAGGGACGACACGGCGGCGCAGGCGAAGGCGGCAGCGACGGCAAGACACGTGGGAGGCCTAGGACAAGACGCTGACTAGACATAGCGCGCAGACGTGGAAGGGACGGGTGCCCCATCCGGTGGTGCCACAGAACGGTGGGGTGGGCAAGCGACCGGCAGGAGCACGACGCAGCGACTGGAACAGACGGAGGAACCTGACACGACACAGACACCTGGGGGGACGTAGCAACCTGGTGAGACGCGGGGACCCGAACGGGGGGGGGAACCGGGGGCAGTGGCAGTAGGGGGGGCTGCTGGTGCGGCCGCTGGTGCTGCTGCTGCTGCTGCTGCTGCGGCTGCGGCTGCTGCTGCTGCTGCTGCGGCTGCTGCTGCGGCGCACGCGGGCCAGTGTGAAGAGTGTAGAGACCCGAGCCCGGCTCAGCAGTAAAGGTAGCAAGAGGCTGGTAAGAGTCTCCGTCAACACACACCGCAGTCTCTCCAGAAGGCTCAAACCACACACCCACGTGCTGGCTCACGAGGGGTCGCACGCCCACCAAGTTCCGGGAGAACGAGGGGACGTGAAACCCAGTGAGAGACCCGGAGGGAGCAGCAGGACACGGTAAAGTGGTAGTGTGACGTGCAGTGACTGGTCCCGTAGTGGGATCAGCCAACGCTACAGAAACAGGCGCAGGAAGTGGTGTAAGTGTCGTGCTGTCCCGAAAGAAGCAGTGGGAGGCTCCAGAGTCCAGTGTGAACGACAGCGAAGCGTCCTCTGAGGTAGTCGCTGGTCTAGAGTCTACACAAGTACCTACACTAGCAACAGGCAACTCAGCAAGACTAGCACCTAAGCTAACAACACCAGAGTAAACAGAGTCAGAAACACTAGAGTCAACAACAGCATACATAGCATGAGGAGCACTAATCAGATCAACTAACTGCTCAGCAGACATGCCCCACAGAGCGGAGCCGTAGCGCTGAACCAGAGGAAGCCAGTCAGGAGCAGGACCGCCAACCCCGTAGGTCAACCGGACCGTGTCAGTGAGCTGAGCAAAGCACTGACCAGGGGGGTGAAAGCGGCCACAAGGGTGGCCCCGACGAGGACCTGTCTGAACCTGGTAGGGGCAGGGAGGGTAAGCAGCACCGCGCTGGGGCTGACGCAGCCCCGACCCCGGAGCCAGCTGCTGACGCTGCTGCTGCTGAGGCTGCTGGGAGGAAAGGGGCTGCTGCTGCTGCTGAAGGTGCTGCTGACGCTGAGCCTGGTACCACGCCGCTGCTCCACCTAGCGGGGCCGACAGTACAGGAGGCGACTGACGAGCTCGAGGGTCGCTGCCACCAGCAGGTGCAGTGGAGTCACCGGCCGCTGCACGAGGGGTCTCTCCAGACGCTGCACTCCCACCACCGCCAGTCGCAACAGCACCCCCACTACCTCCGCTACCTCCGCCTCCACCTCCACCGGAACCACCTTTCTTGCCCCCCCTGCCGCGGGACCGCGACGCAGTCGTAACAGCAGCCGCAGTCGCGTCAGTAGCGGCAGTGGCAAGAGAGGCAGTGAAGGTGGGTAACTGCGGGACTGTGCACCCGTGGAAGAGTGGGGGGGATACAGTACCAGAGGCGGCAGCTACCGAACGAAGGTTGCTCTCGACATCCTTGAGTGCAGACTCAAGGACCTCGATAGTCAGCTCACTAGGGTGCTTCAGCAGAAGCGCGTCACGAACGGAGGCAAGGCGGTCAGGGAGGCTAGTGGCGATGAAATAGACAGTAATCGCCATGGGGGGAGGAAGCAGTGCAAGCTGTGCCTCAGTGCAAGCAGCGCGGTAACTAGCGTCAAGCGAGCGGAGGTGAGCGATCAAGTCAGCAGAGCGCTCAAACGAGGCAAGATCAGGAAACAGGAACGGGAGGAAAAGACGGCCGAGAGAGACAGTAGCGGGAGTAGAGTAGCGGGCCTTAATCGCAGTGAGGTACGCAGCAGCGGTGCGAACCTGAGTAAAGTGGACCTCCTCGGACTCAGGGAGGAGGCTGCTGAGTGCGATGCAGGCCGCAGCGTCACGCGACGTCCAAGCCGTCCGGTCAGCGCGCTGACGGGCAAAGCGAGCCGTAGCAGCATCGTCAGGAGCAGGGCCTAAAGCTGTAGGCTCGGGGGGCTCGGGGAGGTCACCAGTAGCGTGTGACCAGAGGGTCTCGCCCCCCTGGACCTGACTCTCTAACAGACGACGAGCGCGAAGAAGCCAGACGGAAAAGTCAAGGGGTCTACCGTCGGCGTCGAAACGAAGAACTCGCGGAGTCGCCATAGTGAGAACGAACAGGCGAGTAACAACCGGGGGGGGAAGAGGACTCAGTCGCAGCGGAAGAGTGGGCTAGGACGACGGGCCAAGACGTAGGGTAGGGCAACGGGCCAGGGCCTAGGGTAGGGCGACGGGCCAGGGCCTAGGAAGGGCGACAGGCCAGGGCCTAGGGAGGGCGACGCGACGGGGGAAAGGTCAGGGCGACGCGACGGGGCAGGGCGACGCGACGGGACAGGGCGACGCGACGGGGCAGGGCGGCGCGACGGAGCAGGGCGACGGGACAGGGCAGGGCGACGCGACGGGGTAGGGCGACGCGACGGGACAGGGCGACGGGACAGGGCAGGGCGACGCGACGGGACAGGGCAGGGCGACGCGACGGGACAGGGCGACGCGACGGGACAGGGCGACGGGACAGGGCGACGGGACAGGGCGACGCGACGGGACAGGGCGACGGGACGGGGGGGGGGTAACAGGCAGGCGCGACGCGACGGGGGGAACGGGCGCGACGCGACGGGGGGGAACGGGCGCGACGCGACAGGGGGAACGGGCGCGACGCGACGGGGGGAACGGGCGCGACGCGACGGGGGGAACGGGCGCGACGTGACAGGGGGAACGGGCGTGACGCGACAGGGGGGGAACAGGCGTGACGCGACGGGGGAGATGACGCTAGGCTCGGTACTAGGCGCGGTAACTACGAAACTGGTACGAACGAGAGGTAGGATCAGGCTCGGGAGGTACGAACGGAGAACGGAGGAACGGGATCCCACAGGAGCCTAACCTAGCTGATACCATGTCAGAATGAGGAATGAGTGTTGCATTGATGTTGGTTGGGGTACATATGACAAACCCTAACTTCTGTACCCCCTAAGACAAACCTCACTACAGGCTACAACATTTGACAAAATCTACTATAGTGGGTATTTGCTTTGTGCTTTGTTTTTTGTCTCTTCCTGTTTCTGACTGCTTGTTCCTGCTTCGTCAGCGCGTCGACTGCCAAATTGCGTGGAGGATTTTCGGAGCGCACTGAACCACGTGGCACTGTCTTGACTGTAGTATCTCGTATTGAGTGCATTCTAAAAAATGCGAGTTTATGTTCAATCTCGTTTTTGGCGAGTCCAACCAGGTTACAAACGAAATCATTGCTGATTATTTAGGAGTTTTGAGTGGCTCTACGGCTGCAGTCTTATTTTAAGAACATCATATAGCCAGAGTGAGATCTTAAAGCCCAAAACCTGAATTACAAAAAAAGAGGGCAAAATGTGCACAGTTTGCCTGCCGCGCCCCAGAGTTTTGCCTGCAGTTGACTTCCGTTGAACAATTCAGGTTTTGGGCTTTAACAATACAGTTACCTTAGCAAATCAGCTCAAAACGTTTGGCAATCTTGTAATGATACAATCGTGTATTTTTTCCTGTCACACCTGTCTTCTCAAATTCGACTCTCGTCTCTTCTTGGTTCTTGGTTCTTGGTTCTTGCTTCTTGCTTCTTTCGCGCCTTACCTACCGTCTAGCTATCCCTTACTCTCTTCCGTCGCCTCTCCCTCTCACCCCGCCGTCGCGCTCCCTCCCACCCCGCCATCGCGTCTCTCTCCCTCCTAGCCGGCGCCCCAAGTAAAACGACATCGTTGCCGCTCCCTCCCATCCCGCCATCGCCCCTCCCTCCTTCCCAGCCGCCGACGCTGCTCCCTCCCATCCCGCCGCCGCCTCTCCTTCCCTTTCCGCCGTCGCCTCTTCCTCCTCCCCGCCGTCGCCTCTCCTTCCCTCCCCGCCGTCGCCTCTCCCTCATCTCCGCCGTCGCCTCTCCCTCCTCCCCGCCGTCGCCTCTCCTTCCCTCCCCGCCGTCGCCTCTCCCTCATCTCCGCCGTCGCCTCTCACTCCTCCCCGCCGTCGCCTCTCCCTCCTCCCCGCCGTCGCCTCTCCTCCTCCCCGCCGTCGCCTCTCCCTCCTCCCCGCCGTCGCCTCTCACTCCTCCCCGCCGTCGCCTCTCCCTCCCTCCCGCCGTCGCCTCTCCCTCCTCCCCGCCATCGCCTCTCCCTCCTCCCTGCCGTCGCCTCTGGCGACAGGTGCACGAGCGCAAGCGCGAGTTGGTGCGCGAGGGCGGGTCGGTGCGCGAGCTCGGGTGGGTGCGCGAGCGCTGTTTGGTGCGCGAGCGCGGGTTGGTGCGCCAACGAGGGTTGTTTTCTGAGGCATTCTGATTAACAGGTGCGTTCTCTGTCCTTTAATCCTCCCGCCCCCTTATGAAATTTCCCCTTATATTTTACTTCTCTGCTCGACTCGTAAATTTTGTTAGTCAATTCGTCTCCTCTTGCATTGCACTTCTATTTAAAGAAGAGGAGCGCGAGGGGGAGCGTGTGCACGGGAACGCGTGAGAGTGCGCATGCAAGAGCGCGTGCGAGAGCGCGTGAGAGAGTGCGTGAGAGAGCGCGTGAGAGAGTGCGTGAGAGAGCGCGTGAGGGCGCAAGTGAGAGAGTGCGTGAGAGAGCGCGTGAGGGAGCGTGTGAGCGCGTGAGAGTGCGTGTGAGAGTGCGCGTGAGAGTGCGCGTGAGAGTGCGCGTGTGAGTGCGAGTGAGAGAGCGCGAGCGCGTGAGAGAGCGCGTGAGAGAGCGCGTGAGAGTGCGTGTGAGAGAGCGCGTGAGGGAGCGCGTGAGAGAGCGCGTGAGGGAGCGCGTGAGAGAGCGAGTGCGCGTGAGAGTGCGCATGAGAGAGCGCGTGAGAGAGCGCGTGAGAGAGCGCGTGAGAGAGCGCGTGAGGGAGTGCTTCAGAGAGCGCATAAGAGAGCGCGTGGGAGTGCGCATGAGAGAGCGCGTGGGAGTGCGCAAGAAAGAGCGCGTGACAGAGGGAATGCGCAAGAGAGTGCGCGAGAGAGAGCACGTGAGGGAGTGCATGAGAGCCCGTGAGAGAGCGCGTGAGAGAGCGCGTGAGAGAGTGCGTGAGAGAGTATGTGAAGGACCGCGTGAGAGATTGCATCAAAGAGCGCGTGAGAGAGCGCGTGAGAGTGTGCGAGAGAGTGTGCCTGAGAGAGCGCGTGAGAGAGAGAATGCGCAAGAGAGTGCGCGAGAGGGAGTGCGACGGAATGCGTGAGAGCCCGTGAGAGAGCGCATAAGAGATTGTGTGAGAGCATGTGAGAGTGCGCATGCGAGAGTGTGTGAGAGAGTGCGTGAGGGAGCGTGAGAGAGTGCGTGAGAGAGCGCGTGAGGGAGCGTGTGAGAGCGTGTGAGAATGCGTGTGAAAGTGCGCGTGAGAGTGTGCGTGAGAGTGCGCGTGAGAGTGCGAGTGAGAGAGCGTGAGCGCGTGAGAGAGCGCGTGAGAGTGCGCGTGAGAGAGCGCGTGAGGGAGCGCGTGAGAGAGTGCGTGAGAGCGCGTGAGGGAGCGTGTGAGAGAGCAAGTGCGCGTGAGAGTGCGCGTGAGAGAGCGCGTGAGAGAGCGCGTGAGAGAGCACGTGTCAGAGAGCGCGTGAGAGAGTGCGTGAGAGAGTGCATGAGAGCGCGTGAGAGAGCGTGTGAAGGACTGCGTAAGAGATTGCATCAAAGAGCACGTGGGAGAGCGCGTGAGAGTGTGCGAGAGAGTGTGCATGAGACAGCGCGTGAGAGAGAGAATGCGCACGAGAGTGTGCGAGAGGGAGTGCGACGGAATGCGTGAGAGCCCGTGAGAGAGCGCATAAGAGATTGTGTGAGAGAGCATGTGAGAGAGCGCGTGAGAGTGCGCATGTGAGAGCGCGTGAGAGAGTGCGTGAGGGAGCACGTGAGAGAGCGCGTGAGAGAGTGTGTGAGATAGAGCGTGAGAGAGTGCGTGAGAGAGCGCGTGAGGGAGCGTGTGAGAGCGCGTGAGAGTGCGTGTGAAAGTGCGCGTGAGAGTGTGTGTGAGAGTGTGCGTGAGAGTGCGAGTGAGAGAGCGCGAGCGCGTGAGAGTGCACGTGAGAGAGCGCGTGAGGGAGCGCGTGAGAGAGTGCGTGAGAGAGCGCGTGAGGGAGTGTGTGAGAGACAAGTGCGCGTGAGAGTGCGCGTGAGAGAGCGCGTGAGAGAGCGCGTGAGAGAGCGTGTGAGAGAGCAGTGTCAGAGAGCGCGTGAGAGAGTGCGTGAGAGAGTGCGTGAGAGAGCACGTGAGAGAGCGCGTGAAGGACCGCGTAAGAGATTGCATAAAAGAGCGCGTGAGAGAGCGCGTGAGAGTGTGCGAGAGAGTGTGCATGAGAGAGCGTGTGAGAGAGAGAATGCGCAAGAGAGTGCGCGAGAGGGAGTGCGACGGAATGCGTGAGAGCCCGTGAGAGATTGTGTGAGAGAGCATGTGAGAGAGCGCGTGATAGTGCGCGTGAGAGAGCGCGTGAGAGGGCGAGTGAGAGTGCGAGCGAGAGAGCGAGTGAGAGAGCGCGCAAGAGAGCGCGCGAGAGAGCGCGTGAGAGAGAGAGAGAGAGAGAGAGAGAGAGAGAGAGAGAGAGAGAGAGAGAGAGAGAGAGAGAGAGAGAGAGAGAGAGAGAGAGAGAATGGGCGAGAGAGTGCGCGTGAGGGAGCGCGTGAGGGAGCGCGTGAGAGAGTGCGTTAGAGAGCGTGAGAGAGCGTGTGCGAGAGTGCGTCAGAGAGCGCAGGAGAGAGCGCGTGAGAACGTGCGTGAGAGAGCGCGTGAGAGTGTGCGTAATAGTGCGCGTGAGAGAGCGCATGAGAGAGCGCGAGAGAGCGCGTGAGAGAGCGCGTGAGTGAGCGAGTGAGAGCGCTTGAGTGTGCGCATGAGAGAGCACGTCAGAGAGTGTCAGAGAGCGCGTGAGAGTTCGTGTGAGAGAGCGCGTGAGAGTCCGTGTGAGAGCGCGTGAGCGAGCGTGAGAGGGCGCGTGTGAGAGTTGACTTCTCTCTTTTTGCTTGTGCAGGGCGCGTGTTGACGTCTCTGTTTTTGCTTTGTGCAGGGCGTGTGTGTTGACTTCCCTGATTTTGCTTTGTGCAGGGCGCATGAGCTGCGAAGGGAGATGAGGGAGGGAGTGGGATGGAGATGAGGAAAGGAGGGAGGGAGGGTTGTAGGGAGGGGAAGGTGGGATAGGCCAGCAATCATTTCTGCATTTCTGAATTTTATTCATGACGGTTGTGTCTTTATTACGGTCTCTGTATCTATCTGTGCTTGTTTGCGCGTGTGTTAGTGTGTGTTGTACATGTGCGTATGTACGTGCGCGTGTGCGCCTATGTGAGATACGGTATGTGTGTGTGTTGTGTTTGTTTGCATCTGTCTGTCTCGAGGCGTGTGCTAAAACGCCTTGTATAAGCAACTGAGGTGTGATGTTAAAGTGTGTCGGGTCTGCATTTGAGGTGGGGATCGTTGTTGGGGCAGCGTTGCTCACCTTAGCATACCAGAACCACCTCTACTGTAGCACCGATGCATTTTAGCATTCACTCACAGTTGTTTGTGTTGTTTTTGCACGTGTTATACAACTGAGGTGTGATGATGTGTGTTGGGTCTGCATTTTGTTGGGCTGAGACGCCCTAGGATCTTTTGGTAGAGTATAAAGTCTGAGTAAACGATGTAGTAGCGGAAACGTTTGAATAAAGTCCTTGAACCACCTTGCGCTACCGTAGTATGTGAGGGCAAAGTAAGTTAATTAAAGCAAAGAGATACAGGAATATATATATGAGTACAGAGAATATGAAGAGACATAACTGTAACTACTTTACTGTTGCAGTTCGATACAGTACGACTCGGGCAACTGCTCAATGTCGAGTCAGTTGGTTGTCCTTGCTGTCGCGCTGCATTTGTCAGGTCAAAGGTCGCTGATCTTTGACTTTCGCGTAACCTCCAGCGGTTACATCAACCTCCGAGGGTTACTCGCTGGTGCTTCGATTTGCGCTGCTTCGCTTGTGTCTTGAAGTTTCGACACGACAGAGGCGCTTAAGACTATTTGTTCCCAACACATTTGAGGTGGGGATCAGGGCTAATTTTTGGTTTCCAGCAACCCTTGTGATCAGTGTTGCACAAGTCCAAAAACCTGATTATCAGTGTGACACCTTGTTCAAACCCTGATCCACCAGGGTTTTCCTAGTTTTTTAAAATTATACCCTGTAGGATCAGTGTACCAGTTTTGCAAACCCTGGTGTATTGATATTATCGTTGGCAGGCAATAACGAAAATGTATTTCTGGCCAATGGAGGCCCCCCTCGTGCCAGCTCAGAGATGTTGCCTTTGCCAAATTTCAGTTTCGACAGTTGGCATGCGAGAACCTCGATACGGGAAAGGGGGGGTGGGTAGAGAGGGGGCGGGGGGTGGGGCGGCTCGGGGAGGGTATGTACTCGATTCAGGGTAAAACTCGTTACGAAGATCGGTAACCCTGGGCCGTCAGTGTACCTCAAACGTAAACCCTGGCCTATCAGGAAAATACAAGCTCCCGAAAAAATTACCCTAAGGCATCAGTGTGACAGCCAAAAACCACCCTGATTATCAGGGTATCAGGGTGATTTACCCTGATAAAATTAGCCCTGGTGGGGATCGTTGTTGGGGCAGCAGCGTTGCTCGCCTTAGCATCAGGGCTTCAGATTCGTTTTGGGCCACCCTTAGTAATCAGGGTTCTAGGTATAGTCGACCCTGATGTGTAGGGTAAAATTTTGTTTCCCTGACAAAAGCAGGGTAAAACAAAGTTAGTCTGTTTGGCCAGGGTATTTTTGTTTCACAATTTATATATATAACGCTAAGTGCCCAAAAGTCAGTACTCGGTGGCTCAGTTTGTTCGATGACAGATAAGATTAAAAAGCTCGCGGGTTCGGGTCTTGCTACTAGGAGCAATTTGCAGGGGCCAGATAGTGTTTCGTCTCGCTTCAGAGCATTCCGTAACAGGATGACTGAGATCGTATAGTGTACAGTCAGGGAAATGAATTAATTACGCTGTTTTTCAAAGGGTAAAAAAAAAACTTACACTTTCTGGCCTAGGGTAAAAAATCCATTACCCTGCCTGTGAAAGGGTAACTGGAAAAAAGCGGCCCCTAGTCAGTGCAAAAAGGGTATTTTACCTTGATAACGAGAGCCCTGCTTAGCATACCGGAACCATCTCTGTTGTAGCATCCATGCATTTTAGCATTCACTCTTAGTTACTATGTGTTGTTTTTGCACGTGATCAATGGATGCGCTGCACATGATTTGCGTTCACGTCCAGTGGATGTTTCTTGTCAATTGTGTTTCGTGACGACCGATTGTTCCATTCACCGTATTTATCGACGATTATGGAATGAAAGGTTACATTTGGTTTCATTTTTGGGGTACTCTTGTGTCAGTGCTTTCGTCATACCCACAACTTTGGAGCACTCGTTTTGAAAACGTCAAAACGAGGGCTTTAAACGTTGGGAAAATGACAAAAACTGCACTGTTCATTTGAGTCGACCAAAAAGTGCTACCAAATGTATAAGGTTGCTACGCAACCCAAAAATACTAACCCAAGAATAGTGAGGTTGGGCTTACGCACTTGGTTTTCCCTCATACGGTTGGGTTGGTTTGTCGCACGCTCCAACTGATGTCGAGTGACGAATACAGAATGTCATCGTTGCCTAATCTCGCTCTCGCCACGCCCATATTCTCGAAACGAACTTCTTTGCCTTTCGTCAATACGTTTAAAGCCCTTTCGAAATTGTGGCAAAAACCATGTGATACTCGGGCTTTAAGGGCCCACCAGTTAGCCTTTTTTTTGTGCACGATTTTTCTGCCCTGCCCTACGATTTCGCGCTGCCCTGCTCTACCCTGCCGCGCGCAGCTCGTACAGCCCACGCACAGCCCGCGCGTAGCCAGTACAGCCCGCGCGCCACTCGTGCGTCGCCCCTACAGCCCGCATGCGGCCCGAGCGCGGCCTGTGCAGCCTGCGCTAGGTTCGCGCGCAGCCCGTACGACCCGCGCAAGGCCCGCTCGCGGCCCGCACAGCCCGCGCCAGGCCCGCACGCAGCTTGTGCAGCCCACGCCAGGCCCACGCGCGGCTCATACAGCCCGCGCCAGGTCCGCGCGCAGCACGTACAGCCCGCGCCAGGCCTGCGCGCGCCTGCTCTACCGCGCGCGCATCTGCACTACAGCCACCCGTGCGTCGCCCCTACAGCCCGCATGCGGCCCGAGCGCGGCCTGTGCAGCCTGCGCTCGGCTCGTGCGCAGCCCGTACGACCCGCGCAAGGCCCGCTCGCGGCCCGCACAGCCCGCGCCAGGCCCGCACGCAGCTTGTGCAGCCCACGCCAGGCCCACGCGCGGCTCGTACAGCCCGCGCCAGGTCCGCGCGCAGCACGTACAGCCCGCGCCAGGCCTGCGCGTCCCTGCTCTGCCGCGCGCGCACTTGCACTACCCCTGCTGCCGCCTGTGCTACTGACACTGCACTGCTTTTACTGCACTGCTATTACCATACTGCTGTTGCTGCACTGCTGTTACTGAACTGCTGTTGCTGCACTCCTCTTGCTGCTAAGCTACTGCTACTGCCCTGCTGCTCCTGCCCGTGCACCGCTAGTCTACAGCCCTTACGGCCCGCGCCCTTCCATTGCCGCCCACGTACCGCCTCTGCCTCCCAACGCGCCGCCTCTACTGCCTGCGTGCTGCCCGTGCGCCCGCTGCAGCCATGGCTACGCTAAATGTCCTTACATTCGACCCTGACGGCCGCCCAATAGAGTTCGCCACGTGGCTAGATGACCTGCAACTGTTCCTTATGATCGATGCTAAAGACGGAGTTTCCCTGTTTGACCACGCGTCTGGCTCCTCAGTTGCTCCTCCTGACACAGATGACAGCCTCTCTCGTTGACAGTGGCCGACCCATGACGGAGCTGCTCGCCTAGCTATTCGCAACCATCTACCATTAGCTGAATATGCTCACTTCGGCCAGCACAAGACCGCTAAGGACCTGTACACCGCTGTAGTCGCTCGCAACTCTTCCCCCGCCACTGCTGCTATCAACCGCCTTATCCTACCCTACATGTTCCCCGAGCTGTCCTCCTTTGCTACAGTTGAGGACCTCATCTCCCACCTTCGCGCTAGTGACGTTTGCTACCGTGCCCCTCTCTCAGCCGCGAACCTGCCCCCGATGTACATCACGCTCTACTTCCTAGTCACCCGCCTCCCTGACTCCCTTCGTACAGTCAGGGACCACTTTCTAGTGCTCGACCCTACCGCCCTCACTGTCGACGACTTCAAGAAGCACCTCCTTGCAGTAGAGAAAATCATTGTCGCTGTAGGTGCTGCTCGTGGCACTCCTCGCACTCCCCTCTTTGAGGGGTGTTCCTCCTCCCCCCTTGCCCCCTCCTACGCTTTTGCTGCTGCTGCTGGCTTCCTTGGTGCTGAGGAGGTCGGCGCTGCTTCTGCTCCTAGTGGGAGGCGCCGCAGCAGCAAGGGTAGGGGCGGCATGAGTGGTGGAGGTGGTGGAGGGGGGGCCGGTGGTGGAGATGACGGAGTTGGTGGAGGTGGCGGAGATAGCGGTGGGAGTAGTGGTGGGAGTGGAGGCGTCGGTGGCGGCGGTAGCGGTAGTAGTGGGAGTGGAGGCGGCGGAGGCGGCGGCAGTGGGAGTGGTGGCGGTGGAGGCGACAGCGGTGGTGGTGGCGGCAGTGGGAGCGGTGGCAGCGATTGTGGTAGCGGTCGGGGTGGAGCCTTTCAGAGGGGAGGCTCTGGAGGTGGTCAAAGGCAGCAGCAGCAGCCGCGTCCGCGCGAGACCCTTACGCCCCTGTAGCTTCGTGA